GCCGGGAATCAAACCGTGGACCCCTCAATTACGCACTGAGCGTGTAGACCACTACACCACGAAGGCTCGCTGAGAAGGCGAGAGAAATACGTTATAACTTTAAATTTACATCCTGGCGAGAGAATGGGAGGGGAAGTATCAAACTTAAAATAAAATTTTTATGCAAAATAAGGAAAATCCTACAAATTTAAAAGAAGTATTTTGAAAGAAGGTGTCCCGTGGGTGGCCGATAGTAAAAAAAAAAAAAAAAAAAAAAAAAGCACTGAACACTTGTAGTTGTCTTAGGTTCATTTCCTGGCCACTGAAAGAAGTGGCCATTCGGGATTTTCGTGCCTTTCTTCATGTAAGATAAATTCCAGCCACTTTAAGTTAGACAGTCATCCAAAAAGTTATCTCTTAAAGAGAGATAGCCTTCGAATGCTTCGCCGTAATAAAAGCCAAATTTGACAGAAACTGAGACGTAAGAATGAGAAGTGAAAACACAAGAGAGTAATACTAAAAGCTAGTTTTCCAAATTAAAGCAGTGTAAATTACTAACTATATTTAACTTATTACGTAAACATGCTTAATGAATTACATTGCTTTATGGATTTTAGTTAAAAATGATTGTCTTATGGTAGTCTTAGGTTTGTTTATATTATAGCAAAGAGCTGGACTATCTGCCTAAGGGAAAGGGACCTTCATGAAGGACTTTTTAAGGGGAATTAATTCGTGTTCAAGTTGCACACGGGAAAACTATGAAAACTCTCAGGCTGCCAGCTCGTTTGCTGGGATATGAACACGGATCCAACTACTAGTAGTCAGCGGGTTTATCACTCGACAGCTGGGGGACTTAAACTGAAAACACATAACTAAAGTAAATTTCTAATAAGAATCTTCTTTTTGAACTCGGTTATGCATTACATCTTAGATGCAAAAAATTTTCCAAATGCTGTGCTATTTTTCCAGCATAGATTAAAAGCATTTTATTTCATTTTACTTTAGATTACTGCTTGGTATCTTAATTGTAGACTAAGACAGCTAAATTTATGGATCTACTTAGCAAACATTTTACTTTTAGAATTTTTGACAGAGTTTTATTGATTTATTATCACTATTGTTGTTAAATTTCAGTTTCCTCTAAAAAAGCACCATGCTTCCAGAAAAGAAAAAAATGTTTCTTGATTAAAATACAAAAACTATTAATAATTTCCCAATTATCTCATTTTTAATTACTTCGCATTCTTTTCTATTCTTCTGCGACGATTTACTTCCTTTCTAAGAATGATGAAAGAGGAACGGTAATTATGCTTTTAAAATCAGCTCAATAAATTTTAATCAATATTACTGTCATTATTTATTTAAGATTTAATTCCAAGAGATTTTAGAATTACGATGAATCTATACATAAAACTATTGGCTGGCTACCTCAAATTTAAATGAAAATCTACATTAATTAATGAAAAATTAAACACGAAATTAAAATACTTCATGAAACTTTCAAAGCTTTTCAGATTAATTCATTATCTAAAATAATATCGCATTTGAAATCAAAATATAAATTGTAAACCAGGGAAAAACCGAAAGTCCGTAAACACTTAAAATTTTATATTTCAGGATGATTTCAATGTACGGTAAAGAAATTAGTAAAAAGTGAATAAATTTACGGTATTTTGTTTAGAAAATTTTAGGAAGCAAAGTTTTTAACTGCAGTTATGTCTGCCAGAAGACGCTTCAGCTGCATCAGGGCGAAAATTTCTTTTAATAAACGCTAAATCAGATGGTTATCACTACCAAGAATTATGCGAAGATCAACTGAGATATTATAGATGATAAAGAAAGCATTTCCATAGAAATTATTGATACGTAACACATAGTAGCACCTTTTAAATACTGCTGGTGACCTTACATGACCTCTGCATATTTATTCTTCAGGTAGTCTCACATTAAAGGATCTCATCTTTTAGGTCTAAAGATCCAGTTAATCATTCATTTTCGATATATTACTCCAGTTTCGAGATAAAATGAGAGTAACAGCGAAGTACTGTGCATCTAAGTCATAGAATTCTTTATACTTACTTGAGATAGTAATTAAGGAACACTTCCCTATATTAAAAATTCCAATTTACAGCGCCGTCTAGTGAATCTAAGTGTAACTAAAAATGTTATGTTAAATTTTTTCCCTCCGTAACTTAATGCGCTTTTATAGCCATTACGTTATCATGTATTCTAAATACACTGAAACAAAAATTTCATAAAAGTATATTGACTTTTGGAAAGCACTGTGTTCTGTAACATTTGGGTTACTTTCAGTTTCGCTTAGAAGATAACAGGAGTGTGGATTACTCGGTTCTCAGCTTCCGTATAGGATAACAGTAATAACACAAATTGCAAAACAAATACTCTAGGGTTTTCTTTGAAAAGGATGAAATGTCTGGAGCAAACAAGGGTTCGAAAACGTTTCCTCTCATTGTTTCATCACTGTGTTACTAGATGAAGAATTTCAAATTTTTTCAAGTAAAAACCAAAACTGTTGGATTGTAGTTTATAGTAAATATTATTTCAGAGAGCAATATGATTTGCTTGCCATTGTATCTCAACAGCAGATGAAAGGTTTGCTCTTTAACATGGACGAGCATAGTGGTTGATAACCGATACGCCTTTTACGGCACAATCGAATTAACTGATGCATGGCAATTGAGCTTAAATACAAAATAAATACGTAGGGTGTTTCCAGAATCCTAGGAATTGAGCTCTAGTTTAATAGAATTTACAGTTAATAACGCTATCTGCTACAGACAAGTTTATGTAGCTCACCCGTGCAATATTATTTAGTCCGAACCAGTTGTTTGACTAATCAGGATTTTTGCAGCACTGCTTTTGCAACCATGGGAGATGCGAAGAGCTATTATTTTCTATTTGTTGGAAGAGGATGTGAAAACTTCAGAAATTGTTCAACGTTTGCGAGGAATATTCTGTTCCCAACGTTTATGAGGCTTAATTTCAGTTTAACTACGCATAAATAGGTGGATTGAGGGGACACTGAAAAAGATTTTTGAGGACAAGTTAAAAAATTTGTTTTTCATTGGGATAAATACGTATTTAAGTGAATGGGGATTATATTGAAAAACTGCACTGCAATACTGATGAAATTTGACAATATATCTAAACCTAAATTCTTAGAACTTTGGAATCATATCTCGTATAAATCAATTGAAAGTTAAAAAAAAAAAAAAAAAAAAAAAAAAAAAACACCTTACTTTTTGCAAGTGGCGTGATTATTTCCTGACGACTCCTCACTATAAACCGAAAGGCTATATGCTACGACAGCTTTTTGTCGTTTTGAAACATAGGATCTAATTTATTTAAATAGCTTTAAAAATGTGTAAAAGGTTTAATTAAAATGTTTGATATTACGTATCAAACATATAAAAATATGTTTGCACACTGGATTATGATAAAGCCCACGACGGCTATCTGCCTAAGAGAGGAGTACCTTCGAGAAGGAATTTTTTCTAAATTAAATTATTAATTTTTTTATTACAGTGTTCAGGAATACTTGCACAAATAAATTATTTTGCATCTCTTTTGATGTCATAGGACACACGTAACACATAATGTTTTACAGAAAGATATATGATCCAACGTTATTTGTTGGTCACCGTTAAATTAAATGTATTGTTCTTAATTCTTACAAGAATGTTCTTATTTTCAAAGAAAATATGGTCAATAAACAATTTTTAAAGTTTGTCATTTTATTTTGTGCTTTGTTTATTGAGATAATTAACTAAGGTTATATATTTCTTATGTTTAGAAAATATTACTTGACTCGAAAGGGGCTAATGGGTTGCAAATTGTCTCGCTGGATGTATGGAGTTGGTGTATATAAATTTCGAGAGAAAAATATTTGGTGCGAGTTATTTTCTAATAAATAAGATCTCTGATTTTTTATTAATTTATAAAATTGAAAACAGCTTTTTTCCACATTCTAGAGCTGTGTAGTTTACGATTTGTTAAACCATGTAAATGACACTTAATCTAAATTTATTTATTTTTGTTGTTATTCACATGTCTCTACTAACTGTAGACATTTTTTTAAAATGTAAATCTTGAACATTCCGTGTTCTAAAAAGCGTTAATTTTTAAAAATTAACAACATAATTTTCACATATACATCTTTGACGGAATTTATTCTCAAAAAGAACATTTTAGATTTATCAGGTAATTTTATCCGACTCCACAATTTTAAGTGAACAAATAAGACGCACGTTTTAGTATTGCATTATATTTTAACGTTTCAATAAATCCTAAGTTTGATATGAAAATTAGAGTTCGATTTACTAAATGAATTAAAATACGTATTTTTGTGGAAAATATGTATATAGCTTGATCACATTCTCTTACGAGAATGCTTTTCTACTTCTTTTGATATTTAAAATGTACATAATATCTTAAACATTTGTTGCATCTTTAAATTATTCTCCATCTCTTTGTTCAAGGGAGGTTTCATATTTTTAGTAAATTGTAAAACGATATTAGAATTAGAACTGCGCTTGATAAATGAATTAAAATGCGCATATTCGTGAAAAAATACATGCGTTCATGAGTATATTTCTTGAAGAGAATGGTTTTCAACATATTTAATAATACATAACCTTCCTGAAAATTTGTCATATTTTTGTTAAATATATTTCCAGTTTTCGAAGGGAGATTTTAATATGACTAAATCAAAAAAGAATATGAAATGAAAAATGCAAAATATTTATGCAATTATTTCAGTTTTTTTATTTCATTTTTTTAGCGTTATCGCGGAATGAACATCCTGATAGACCTTTTGCCTTCCTGCTTTCTGAGAAACACAAAGTTGATCTTTTTTCTCGTGAATCTTCCTTTTTCACTAACAAAACAGTAAGAGGGTGACAAAAACATGAGGAAGCGATCTCGCCATTTCCGCTTAAAAAAAATCTCTGAAATCTCATTTACATTTGTTATGATTCTCCATGAATTTCAAATTTATTTACCTTTTGTTAAAGCACTTCTTATCGGGCCCACCTGAAAGATTTCAGCTTACTTGAAACGCCGATACAATTTAAGAGACCCAGACCATTTGAATATCCTCGACCGAGAATTGTACTCTGTAAAGAAAAAAAAATATTTTATTAAAATTAAAATTTTGAGAATAGGACTTAAACACAAATAATTAAACTCCTGGCCATTCAAAATACAATACCATGAAGGAAGCATCCAAATAGTATTAAATTTGCATCAAGTGTATCTCGCGACGGAATATGCAAATATTTACAATTTCAGCGCACGCGCACATCATGGGTCACTGCAGCGCTCCTTGAAATTCGTATGCGAAGGAGGAAGATTGCCGTTTTGAAGAAGTGAATTTCTCTCTCGTGATATTTTTTTTTTTTTTTTTTTTTTTTTTTTTTTTTTTTTGTGCACGCAGCTTCAGTATGCTTTGTAGTAAAATATGAGAATCTTTCGGCCATGTTTCTAATTTCGACAGAAGCAGAATTGTTGCAAAGATTTCGGTTTATCCTTCCGGAAAAACGTTCATCGTCTCGGACGTAGCCAAGGATAAGTTATGCGAATATGGAATCGGTGGGCGCAGGAGGGGAAGACTAACGAACATGAGAAATTGCAACAGCTTCCTCGCACAACTCCACCGGGAGACAGACATATCATGGGCATGGAAATGATAAGGCGCTTTGTCAATAAGCAACCATATCACAACAAATGCAGTCTATAACACAAAAGTGACTGCACTAACAATTTGAAGTCGTTTACAGTACAGTGGATTGTCCGTTAAGTGTCCATTGCTTCGCTTACCTTTAGACCACAAGCATTTACATTTGCAACGGTGCACTGAACGGCGGAGATGGACATCCCAATGGCATGGCGTGTTTTCGGACGAATCACGATTCTGCCTGCAGTACCACGATGGTACGATTACAGTTCGTAAACACCATGGATAGAGACTGCTGATAGATATTCGTGGATAGAGATTCCTATGCTATGCATTATCATACTGGTATCAAAATCGGATTGAAAATTTGTCATATTTTGTCAACTTCTAGCTTTAGTTTTAGATTTTCTGTAAAGTTGGCCTTAAGAACAGAAGTTTAAAGTAAAAAAACTAGTTAACACAAGAGTTAGAAGCATTACATTTAACGTTGGAAAGATTTTAGACTTTAGAGTCTTAAACAAGGTCGTTTAGAGACCTTTAATTTTCGACTATTTAAAGTCTGGTCGGGAGTTATGTAAAGATTATGTTAATTTTATTAAGAGTTAAATTTGAGTTAAACTTCCTTTCCTATCGCTTCTTAATTTCAACTTACCACTTCCGGACAGAACGTAGTTTTAGAATCACTTTTGAATGTAAATTGAGGAAGAAAGGTATTTAACCGCGAAGTTCTACTGTCTTAGTCAGAAAGAACCAGAGATTCTGGTTAGCATGCGTCCGCCTTTTTAGGCTACTCTCTCTTTAAGCTATTATTACACACGGCCGTACTTAAGGCCCTTAATAGCTTAGCAGTCAATTAGCGTTAAGGAGCCATCTCCGTCAGAATCTTGATAGCTTCGGCTATATCTTTTTAGTTAAGATTAGTTAAGTTTTAATTCTTAGTTTCCTACGTTCAAGCCCGAGTGTCGGCTTTATTGTAAAACTCCAAGACGGCGTTCTGTTAAATCTTATTTGAATAATAAAGGGTATTTTAACCCTTTCCAAGTTTAATTACTGTCTCACAAACTCAAGCGATTATTCGCTTAGTTCTTAAGATTCTTCGCATTCAACAGTAACTTAAAGCAACACAGTAGAGAATCTTAGACGGTATATTGTGTAATCCCAACGTACACCCCGCATCCAGTATTTATTAAAAACAATGATTTAGAACATAAAGAGATTACAGTATAGTTTCAACACAATTTGAAATTCTTAAATTAAATTGAGAACATTTGTAACAGATAAATACAAACTATACTGTAATAAATTACAGTATAGTTTCAACACAATTTGAAATTCTTAAATTAAATTGAGAACATTTGTAACAGATAAATATAAGTACTGGGACACAATATTGTAAGGAACTGTACTTAAGTACTAGTACTAAAGAAGTGACCACAGGGTCATATCGTTTGAGAATAACATCAGAAAATTCTGTGAGTATGAATCCGAGAGCTCAGGGATTTCGGAATGCAAAAATTGGGAATACAGAAAATGATTTTTGACAATAAGCCAACAAAATGCTTAAAAACGTTTCTTAAAACGGTATGTTGGAGCAGGTTATTACAGCTTTTAAAGTTCACAAGTGGAATAATTTTGAACATATTCACAGAAGTAAAAGTTCATTAAATTTTTGCAGCATGAGGAATATATACTTGACAAAGCACTACGTCGTAGAAAAGTATCTAGGCCGTAGAAAGAGAGCAGCTACATAATTTTTTTAACTTAGGATACTAATGTTTGTCTTTAATTAGAAACCTTTAAAATGCCAGGAGATCACTTTATGGGGATTTTATAGGATTATCCTTAGTTAAATGGCTTGAGAAAGTGTAATGATTGATCCCTGTTACTCGCGTATACAGATATTGGATTTTGTCATATTTCTTGCGTAGAAATAAGTCGGGAAGAGTCCATGTCTTTTTATATAATATCTTAATGAAGCTATAATATTTTAGCGAATGTTATGTTACATAATATTGTAACGAATATACAGAGCTTCAAAGCTTACGTTGGGAATCAAATTATATGTGCGTCTTCTCGATGAAGCATTACTCCACAAATCTTGGCAATATTTTGTAGCAAGTTGTTTTAGTTTGTATTTGAAATTTGGACGAGGCCATAAAAGGATGATTTCAACACCATCTTGATTAACAGCTGCTGTCAAATTTAAGTTAAAACTTGGATTGTGAAGTCAAAGACTAGTAGAAAATTTAAATCTTACTCTAACGGCGTATTAAATTCAAATGTCGGCAACGATATAATGTAAAGCCAAATAATTAGAACTTATCAGAGCTGGCAGGAACGAGATGTAGCGTGCACGCGCAGGCCAAAAACATGCCCTGTCTTAAACTCCAAAAGACTCAGTTTAAATATCAGCTAACTCATTTACATCCTGGTGAGGAAACGGAAATGAGTAGTAAAGGCTAAAATTATAAATAAATGTATATTTAAATTATCAGTGCTTGATTTATAATACATATAATTGAAAATTCGTGTTTATATGGCGCCATATATCCTGACTCTTGCTTAGCTTTATTTTTGATAACGTATCAAACTGGAGTGCAGCTCGAAAAACAAATTATTATCGTATAACAAACAAGAATTTGCCAGACAAGTAAAAATAATATGATTAGCTCAAGATACTGCAAAAAATCTCATAATATTTTTCAAGCGATATTCAGGTATATAATAGAAAGAGAGATAAGATTGTCGATTGTATGAACTTAAAATCTGACATCTGTATTTTGAGTCAGAATGCAAAAACAGCATATTTTATAGAAAACAACACAGAAAAGGGCTTACATAACATTGGTTAAAAATTTTGAATAAGTAATGTAACGTAACGATGTTTATAAGAACGCAACCAACTGATTAACGCCCAAGTACATATTACGGGAAACTGATTATCAATTTCGTAGCACAGAGGTAATGCTCTGATATGAAATTAAAAAGAGAAAGAAAGAAATTAACAAAATGTATTATTTTCAAGATATGGATTCTACATAAAATAAAATAATACGAACGGAAGTCTAATAATTACAATGACACTTTTATATAAATAATTTTTACATTATTTTATGTAAATAACATGCATAAGCATGTATACAAATGTTTAGAAATGGATTTTCCATTATACAACGGAAGTTAAATAGTGACCGATTGCATATATATCGATTTACTTTTATTAAAATATCATCTATTTGCTCAAACTGTCTAAATAGTATGTTTTATTTGGTTTTATGTTTTCGTTATCTGCTGTGATATATACCAAGAGGGAACACAGAGAAGCAATAAAGTTTTATTCGTACAATGGATTTACAGTTAAGTTATTCGATTCAACGAAAAGTGTAACTATGCTTAATCATTCACTTTTTTAACTAATGTTTTCTTCTGCGGACAACTTTATATAGCCTTGCATGAAATTTTACCTTAACCCTTTGACTATTAACGGGATATATATATGTCCCACTAAACGTTTAACCCTTTGACTACTAACGGGACATATATGCCCCACTAAACGTGTAACCCTTTAACTACTAACGGGACATATATGTCCCACTAAAAGTTTAAAAATGTTGCTGTGTTGAAGATTGCTAAGAATCTCCTGAATGTTGGGGATCATCTTTAAACAGTTGGAAACACAAGAAGCCTATTTACTCGTCGTACACAAATGAACATAGAGAATAGAACAAATATGAGTTGCCCAATGCGTAATGTGTTATGCAAAGAAATCTTTATCTTGTACCATATGATGTAAATCTATTTCATATAAAAACGTTTTCCAGAATAATAGGGATGCTTATAGTAAGTCGATTGCATATATATCCCACTTTTAACTACGTCTGGGACATGTGTGTTTCAGCCTTTGGATGGAAAACCGTTTGTCAAAAAAATCCCAAATGCTAAATTTATCTTATTTATGACATAGTTTGTTCACCTGTATAGAAATGAGGTAATTTTTTTTAATTCGTAGTCAAAGGGTTCAAAAGCTTCATTCTGAGAACCATTCATTTTGAAATATTTTCATACGCAGGATTCATATTCTCTAAGAAACGTATTTTCAAATAAACGTATAGAATGAAGTATAAAATGCGGCAAACAACCGGACAGTAATAAAATATATTTTCGAACATCAGCATATCATCCCTAAATCTTTATAGACGTATTGTGTGTATACTTCTTGACGTAAGAAGCTTTGCATTTAATTACTCTTATTTAATTTAAACTATTTAATTTTCAGTCAATAAGATAAAGGTTATCGAAACGCTTGATAAGTTTGAAGCTTGAATATAAACCTTGATTTATTAGAAACAGATATAAATTTTCTTCTATTAACTTAATATCAATATAAAATTATGTGATACTTAACAAATTGTTTTTTAAAAAAATGTAAGTATACTGATA